GAAACCAGATTCACTAAATATAATAAAATAATGTTTACCACCATTGCAACTGAAAAAAAAAACGACATAGTATATCCATACAAAACACTGTAATCTTAAACAAAGAATCTGACATCAATAAACGCAAAATAAAAGAAGTTATTTCAATTGAAGAAAACAATCCCACATTAAATCAACATCTCGGGATACCAAGATTCCTATACTAGACTGTGAAGCAATATCCTGTCATGTGATCTCTTTGTTCTATACTGCATGTATGTACTCATGTATCTCTGTAAACTACTTGTACCTGAGGACGATAAAATATTGTCGAAACGTCGTACATTAAAATAAGGTTTTTCATTACCCAGTCAAGCCTTTCAAAACGTTTCTGTGTTTCTGCTTGAAGTCTATTCCATTCATCCTTCCTTTATGGCAATTATCCGCACATTGATGTGTAAAGAAGCTTAGCAAAGTGAGGGTATTCTAGCTGTATTCTTGCTGTAACTTTATGGCCACTTGCTATTTGCATCAATTCATCCTCTTGTTTCATCTCTGGAGGCAATTTTCCAACTTTAAATACCAAGTTGGGTTGGACAATGGTAGCTGCTGACCATTAAAATCAAAATGAGACTCATCCTCAGAGTCTTTTTGGTTTATTGTCATTTGTTGATTCATCATAGTCTCGGCTGTAATGGTCTTCTTTTTTTCCATATTTATAGCAATTCCTTTTTCTATCATCTTCTGAGAATAATGTTTATTTTTTACATGCTTTTGTCTACAGTTCCTGGCAATATGTCTTTTTAAGTTACAGTTAACACACCTAGTGTCCTGTGATTTATTTCTTTTATTCTGATAACTAATTATCTAACTAATCCTTTGATTTATTTAACATTTCCATCAGAGGGAGTTAGTGTTTCCACACTATTTGATCTGATAATATCATAATAATTTCTGGATGGCGCTTTTAGTTTTTATTTGCAATTTTAATTGATTTAAGTTCCATGCCAACGAATTCATTAATTTACGTGGCATATCTTAATGAAATAATTGGTCAAGTCTTCAACGAGTTTAGTTAATCTCCCTCTTTACTGTGCTCCCAAACATTGCTTTAGAACCATCCTTATAACGTGAGACTTCAAGTGTGGTTGATAAGGTAGGCATCATTACCTGATAGTTGTTACAGCTCTCTATTGGAAGATCACTTAATTTTGTTAAAGCTAATCCTTTTTAAATCAACAGCAAAATGAATAGCTTGCTGTTCATTATTCCATCGATTCACATGGGAAATTATTTCAAGCTACGTTTGATATGCTTCCATGGTACCTTTTACATCACAATCTGTTGGCTTCTCAATTATGCGATGTAGTGAAACTGCACTTGCTGTTTCATTAACTTGTTGAGATAATGGTATTTCAGAAAGGCGTGGCATGTGTAGGTGGCACAACAGTAGTAGTCACATGTGTAGACCAGATGTGTTTGCTTATTACATATTTTTACGACAGCGGAAGTCACGTGACACTAGGAGCATGCACGCTGGAGTTTCTCGAAGGATCATGAAATTGCCCGCCAGCTCGAGTGTGATCTAGATGCCCTCTTTCTAGTATATATAAGCCTGGCAAGAAGTCAGCGGCAGATAGATAA